AAACACCATTAATGGTAAAGAAATTTCATCTACTTTTTCCTTATTCTCCCTGCACTACAATGGTTAAGACCGTTGGTTAATTCCATCTTGGAACCTTGCTTAACCCTGACTCTGCCATTTATTAGTTTTGTGGCTATGTCAATTTATTTTACTGTGTATGCCTCAATTTCATCATCAGGAAAATAGAAATATATTTTCTCTTAATAGAGTTTTTGAGAGAATTAACACTCCGGTGTGGGGTGAATTTCCCGCCAAAATATAAGATGGCTCTGTCTTTTGGTTTTGTTCCATCCACCAAAAGGGTGGATTACAAACAAATATTTGGTAATACGCAGTTACAATCGGCCCGAGTTTACACGTTTCCCGCACTCCACCGCAAATCTATATGAACCGAGTTAAAGACGGCTCCCGCGGAGTACGCGCAATTCACGCGAGCCGACTTAACTCGTTTCCCCCACTCCAAGTGTTAAATAAGATAGGTATTTAGTATTCAGAAAAATGCCTGGCACATAATAAGTACATAGCAAGCATTTATTATTTATTAGGGTAGAATTTATAAATGATGAAATCAGAGACTATGGAAGAACCTGGCTTAATCAGGGACTAAAATTCCATTTCCACTGACATCTCTTCCTTCTCCCTTTGCCATTTTGTCCTGCAACAGGGTAACAAGAAGGGCCCCTTGGGCCGCTGGGACTTCGATACCCAGGAAGAATACAGCGAGTATATGAACAACAAGGAAGCTTTGCCCAAGTGAGTTGGTACTAAATACAGCCAGGATGTGAGGAGAGGGATGGCGATGGGTGGGCTAGCTCACACCAGGTTGGAGGGTGTGGTCTGGCTGAGACATTTTCAAATAGCTTTCTGCTCACAGGCCCTCTGGGAACACCTTGCTACTGCTATGCAAACTAATGTCTCTGTTGTCTTCCCTCAACTGCCCTTTTTTCCCCTCAGGGCTGCATTCCAGTATGGCATCAAAATGTCTGAGGGGAGGAAAACCAGGCGCTTCAAAGAAACCAATGACAAAGCAGAGCTGGATCGCCAGTGGAAAAAGATTAGTGCAGTAAGTGGGACTGCCTCTCTGGTGGGAGGGGTTCAGCTGGGAGTAGACACTGGTCCATCAATCCAGGAATAGGCCAGGGGCTGGAGAGCCATGGAAGTAGAGAGATCAGCCTTGAGCCTCAGTTGGACTTAAAGTGGCAGTGTAACTATCGACTGTAACTTCTTGCAGATCATTGAGAAGAGGAAGAAGATGGAAGCTGATGGGTGAGCAGCCTTATTCATTCTCTATGGGACTGGGGAATTGCTTACTTTATTTGATCTTAGGCTGACTCATTTATTCTATTACTGCAGGGTTGAAGTGAAAAGACCAAAATACTGATCTCCAGTTCCAACTCCAAGAGTCTTTACAAGGACATGCTTCCCACTGCTTGCTTTCTACAATTCCCAAAAAAGTTGCAAGGTGTTTGTTTGTTTCTGATGTATATATTATTGTTTAATCACTTGGTTCCATTAAAATTGGTTAACCTGCAGTCTTTTCTATATTGTGCACCCTCCACTCCAGGGCCCCTGAGGCACCAAGAAGGATATTAATTTTACTGATTATAGAAAATCACATGCAGAAAGTCAGCTCAGTCCTTTCCTGAGCTATGGTTCTAGATATCTTGACAGTAAGAATGTTTACTAGCTAGGTGCCCAGAGGAGAATGGATAAGAGATAGATGGTTGGTCTCAAATGTCAGACCCATTCAGGCCCATTTGGGGCCCGACTCTTAGGGCAGAGATTCCCTGGGAATTAGGGTGAGCCCAGTGGGCTGCCAGTCTAATCGCAAAGTTTGCACAGCTGAGTGCTAGGTGAAGGCATCTGATGAGAATCACTGGTGGGAACAAAAATCTTTTATGCAATTATGTCCTCCTGGGAGCTTTAATTTCAAGCACACATCACTGCTGCCCTGGCTGAAGGGATACCTTGGGGAATCCCTGTGCTAGGCCATTTTGATGTGCCCGTCAACACCCTGAGAGGTTTACTAAGGCCAGATGGGCTCCCTGGTCTCCAAATCAACTCCATCCCCACATTTTTCCTTCTCTCTGCTCATTGCCAACACTTTCATCTGGTACTTACAAATAAAGGTCACCACTTTCGGACTGGATCCCTACCTGCCACTGCTTATTCTAAGCCTAAAATTTGTGGGCTCACCAGGTCCAAAGAAAGATAAAGGGCCATCTTAGCCATTGCCTTTATTCTTGATAGGGCAGGGGCACTTAAGAGATTGAAATTGAGCCTTGTCTGCAATAGCACCTAGAATGACTAATTTCAGACAGTGACACCCAGCTTTCATGGTTGTAGGCAGTGGTCCTAATTAGGAAAAAAGACAGAGACCTGGCTCAAAATAAGATACCTAGAGTATCACTAAGATAAGACCTGGGGGTTGGTCCTAGCCGGTTTGGCTCAGTGGATAGAGTGTTGGCCTGTGGACAAGGGTCCCAGGTTGAATTCTGGTCAAGGGCACATACCCGGGTTGTGGGCTCGGTCCCCAGTAGGGGGTGTGCAGGAGGCAGTTGATCAATGATTCTCCCTCATTGATGTTTCTCTCCCTCTTCCTTCCTCTCTGAAATTAATAAAGATGTATTTTTTTAAAAAGACCTGGGGGTTGACTGTCAGTGTAAAATCAGTTTTTGCAAGTACTACCAATCTTCATGGAAGTGACTGGTTGACAACACAGTGACAAGGACTTCCAACACACACAGAAACTTCCAGTCGCACAGAGGGCATGCAGTCTCTCTGAGGTCCCTAACCTCACTCCTTCGGCTTCTCTTTAAAAAGGTTGGGAAATCAGCATATCAGATGTCTTAGAAGGCTTCATACCACAGTGATGTGAGGACGTTCTCTTCAGCCACAGGAGTTCCTTCTCATCTGCCCCACCATAATGGGTAGTCACACCCTGGCCATATAACTTTTTATTTTTCCAGGCAAATATTTTTTAGCAACTTCCTCCCCTAAAGCACAGTGTGCTCCTCTTTGTGGAACCTTTGTTAACTGGGATGTCCAAAACAACTGCTGTGCCCATTTTCCTCTTCAGCAACTGCCTGCTCTGAGCACAGCTGGCCCGGCCCACTGAAGGTCTGCAGCCTAGCTATAGGAATGGGCAGGGCGCTGTTCAGCCATGAAGATGTCGCGCACAGAGGGCAGCAACTTAGGCATATGCACACGGGCTGCCTGCCCTCCACGACCCACCGTGTGAAATTCTTGTGGCATAGGCTTTTGCTGCTTCCTGACCAACCTGGCTGACACTGGTCATGGTCTTGGATTTCACCACGCTATGAATGACTGGAGTGTGTCTCTGATCCCGAAGGCATTAAGTCCTTAAGGTTGTGTGACGTGAACAAAAAATTAGGTTCTATTGAAAGTAACCTCACAGGGTCATCTGATCATAAATGGGCAGGTCATAATGGGTAGTCACACCCTGGTCATATAACTTTTTTTCCCAGGAAAATATATTTTTAGCAACTTCCCTAAAGTATTTCAGGAGCCGATGAAGCTCTCCTGTTCTTTTTTTTTCAATTAACTAATAAATACTTGATTAGAACCTTTGATAACTTACATCTTACCAGCACCCCTTCTGCCCGGCTCCTCCAAGGCTCTGAGAGAGGGAGGCTCTCTCATCTGCTTCCTTTCACCCCGACTTTCCCAGTACCCTCTGCCCTGGGTCCCATTCGGGCTGAGTGACACTGACACACAATGACGTCAGGGGAGGTGGCACACTGACTCAGTTCCAGGGGCCCAGGTCGGGGTGCTCCCAGTCCTGCGCCGAGTTTGCCTGGGTTTGATTTGGTCCTGGGGTGATTCCAGCCTTGCTTCTAGGCTTGCTGGGCAGAAACAGCACTAGTCTCCTGAACATCTCCAAGGAGGGGAGCCTGGTCAAGCGCATGCCCACAGGAGTTGTGTGCCAAGCCCAGGAAGGGGCCTGGGAGAGCCCTCTGTGCACTGGAGTGAGGAGGAAATAGCACTGGGTGACCTGCCCTGTGGCCCTGCTGGCGATGCCGGCAGGGCTAATGTTATTGTGTCTGCACCCGAGGGAGGGGGGCCAAGGTATAGGGTGCCGGTTCTAGGTTCCTGGGGTACACCAGCGAGCTGGTACCCGGTAGAGAGGCATAGCATAACTGAATTTGAAAAGCCTGGTGTGGTTTTCAGAGGCGAAGAATTAGCCTCCGGGTGGTGGCCAGGCTCACATTCCAACAGCCTCGGACAGCAGAGAGCGAGGTGGCACCAGCCAGGTCAGACCTGCCTAGCAGCTGCCTGAGAATCGGAGGGGCTCCCCGTGAGTGCAGGAGAGGGGGGCTGTTTTCCCAGATAAGCGGTCACAGCAGAGTTTGGAGGACCAGCCAAAGGCTGGGATTCAGCTGGGGCTGCACCGGATGGAGGTCCTGGTCCTGGATGGACGTCTGGGCCCCAGGATGGAGATCTGGGACCCGGGTTGACGTCTGTGCCCTGGATGGAGTTCTGAGTCCTGGAAAGAAAGTCTGGGTATGGGATGGTCTGGTTCCCAGATGGAGACCTGGGTTCTTCAATGGACATCTGGGTTCTGGGATGGAAGTCTAAGCCCAAGATGGAGGTCTAGGTTACGAGTGAGGTCTGGGCCCCGGATGGAGATCTGAGCCCTGAATGGAGGACTGGGTCCTGGCAGTGAGGTCTGGCCCCGGATGGACGTCTGGGTCCTGGCAGGGAAGTCTGGGCCCTGATGGACTTCTGGGGCCTGGATGTAGACTGAGCCCTGAATGGCGGTCTGCATGGGTCAGGATAAGGGGGAAGGAGAAATGCGACTAGAGAGGGGATTGATGGTCTTCGGCCATCTAGCTGGTCTAGGTATCAGTGGCGTCAACACAGGAGCTCAGGGGACCTTGGGAACCTGGCCCCTAGAGTCCGCCCCGCCCACAACAGCTGCGGAGACCCGCCTTTTCCTGGTTACGGAGACGCCCCGGCGCCACTTCCTGTCCCGCCCCCCCAGGCGGAAGCGGTGCACCGGGCTGCTTACTCCTGCGGGTTGACGGCTTGGCACGCTAGTCAACTGCGAGGCGGCTCGGAACCCCCCGGTGCATGGATCACACGTGCGACGAGAGGGCCACGGAGGATAGGAGCGACGAGGAGGACTCCGACTCCCCGGAAGTCCCGGCCCGGACCCGGGACACCCCTGAAGACATCGTTTTGGAAGCGCCGGCCAGTGGGCTGGCGTTCCACCCGTCCCGCGACCTCCTGGCGGCGGGGGACGTGGACGGGGACGTGTTCGTGTAAGTGCGCGCCGGGGCCGGGGCGCGGTGGGCTCGGGGGCTGGCAGCTCCCCTGGAATGGAGCTGGCGGAGAGAAGAGTGCAGGGAGAGAAAGAAAGTTTGCAAGACTCATCTGGTCTGATTCGTTCATTAACATTTGGCTTTAAACAAGTTAGCACACAAATCTCTGAAAAGAGCTGAAAGGAAGGTGAAATGGCTGTAATGTCGTGACGGAGCCCAGAGACAGTAAGTAGCAGGATAAGGCTTTCAGGACAGATTATTATACTGAGCCTGAAACAAGCTCAACAGGGTCCCCTTCTTGAGCTTCTTGCTTTAATTGCTCTTTTGAAAACACAAATCCTTAAATAGTTTACCGTTGCTTTTAGGATTAGGTCTAAACTGATTGACCCTCTGGCCCTTGCTCGCTTTCCCCTTTGCTTTCTATGCTCATTCATCCTTATCTTTATAATGTATCTTGAAGCCTCAGCTCCTTTCCCCTCACTTGTACCTCCTATCTCTAAGTTCTCAGCATGTCTTCACTCTGTCCCCATGCCCCTGACTAAATCAGATTACTTACTAGGTGCTGCCTTGGCACCAGATGTCTTTTCCTCATAAACTTCATAATGGTTTGTAGTCAAACATAAGTTTGTATACTTATTTGAATGCTTGTCTCATTTACTTAAAAATGTGTCTATTAAGCAGCTTTTTCATGCTAGGCACTGGGATAGAGCAAACTTAGTAGAACCAGTTCTGCCCACCTGGAACTCACTGGCAATTAAGCACTTAATTCACTCGGCTGCTTTGAGGATCTGCTCTGAGCATCTGCACTGGGGATGCTCTCTGCACAGGTGCTTGCCTTGCTGAGTTTACAGGCTGGTGCTTCTCTGTTCCACCTGCATTTTGATCCTGGCTCTTTTTCAGTGTGCAGTCACAATGTGCCAGAATTAATTTTGGATCTCCAGCTCCTACAGAACTGGAGTGCAAGATCCCTGTTTTACTGATTTTTACATTTCCAACTTCTGGGGCTGCCCTTCCGTTATTAATTTAACGAATATTTCTGGGCCTTCACAGTGGTCCATACCTAATCTTTCCCCAGGCTGGGGCTTGCAAGGATGATTTAAGAAGGGTGGGGTGACATCACAAAGTTGCAAGCAAATATCTATCAAATGAGAAAAAGATTTCCAAATATTTGAAGCTCATTGAAAATGGAAAAAATGGGATGGTAAGCTGTTACGGCCAAAGGTGATCCTGAGTGGCGGGGTGAAAGGATTGAGAAAAGACAGACAAGAGAATAATAGCTGGGTCTCGGTGGGACGCTGCTCCCTGAAGAGGAGACAACGCCAGCGCCCACAAGCCGTGTCTTTATTTTATAGCAGATGCCACGAGGCAAAGTAGGGGCGTGATCAAGTCATTTACAGTATTCTCGTGTTTCAACCCTACTCAACTACATGCACCTGAACTCTATCACAAGGCACGTGGGGCTACGTGTTCGGACCATAGGTTCAAGCTTACAACCATAGCTGTTGGCTATGATTGTGCTGGGAGGGCCCTGCCCTCCAGCTGGGACTTGCACGTGGCAATGAGAGGACCCTGTCCTTTCATTAGTCCGAGGCCTGAACCTGGCCAAAACACCGTAACCGCGCCCCACAGTAAGCTCCTTGGGCTTAGGGGTGTACTAGCAGGAACTCCTAGGTAGGTGGAAGGTTGACTAGTTGGTACACCCCAGGCAGGGTCTGGGGTCATTCACTCTCCATCTCTCTCCAGCTTTTCTTACTCCTGTCAAGAGGGAGAAACCAAAGAGCTCTGGTCCTCAGGTCACCACCTCAAGTCCTGCCGTGCCGTGGTCTTCTCTGAAGATGGGCAGAGTGAGTATTGGGGAAGGCAGCCAGCAGTGTGATGGTGGGAGGGGAGCAGTGAGCAGCACCATGACCTGCGCACCTTTCCCCCCAGAACTTGTTACTGTCTCCAAGGACAAAGCCATCCACGTTCTAGACGTGGAACAGGGCCGACTGGAAAGACGCATTTCCAAGGCTCACGGGTAAGAGAAGGCAAATGTGTTGAGGCGAGGGTAAGACTAATTTTTTAGTCTTGGGTAAGGACTTGCAGCTCCCTATTGGGACAAAGATGCTCTAAGAACAACTGCATCTATGTCTCTAGTGCCCCTATCAACAGCCTGCTGCTAGTGGATATGAATGTTCTGGCCACTGGGGATGACACAGGTGGCATCCGGCTCTGGGACCAGCGGAAGGAAGGCCCCTTAATGGATATGCGGCAACATGAGGAGTACATTGCTGACATGGCTCTGGACCCAGCCAAGAAGCTGCTGCTGACAGCCAGGTACATCCTCAAAGCTGCCTTCCCTGTGCTAAATGTCTCCCCCTTAATGGCAGCTTCTGGCCAAGCCTGCTGCTCTGCTTTCTCTGTAGTGGAGATGGCTGCCTTGGTGTCTTCAATATTAAGCGACGCCGGTTTGAGCTGCTTTCAGAACCTCAGTCTGGAGACCTGACCTCTGTCACAATCATGAAAGTACGGCTGGGCACGGTGGGATGGGGTGTGCAAGGGACTTGGTCTGACAGAGCTCTGCAAACATGGTTTATCCTGTTTCCCTGCAGTGTGGGAGGAAGGTGGCCTGTGGCTCCAGTGAAGGCACCATCTATCTCTTCAATTGGAACGGCTTTGGGGCCTCACGGTGACCGCTTTGCCCTGAGAGCCGAGTCCATTGACTGCATGGTTCCAGTCACTGACAGTCTGCTGTGCACTGGGTCTACCGATGGAGTCATCAGGTGAGAGAAGCGGGGCGCTTAGGGGCACGGGAAGGGTAGGCGCCCCACCAGCCAATACCCAACACTCTTTTCTCTCCGTCCAGGGCTGTGAACATCCTGCCGAACCGAGTGGTGGGCAGTGTGGGCCAGCATGCCGGGGAGCCTGTGGAGGAGCTGGCCCTCTCCCACTGCGGCCGCTTCCTGGCCAGCAGTGGCCATGACCAGTGCCTCAAATTTTGGGACATGGCCCAATTGCGGGCTGTGGTGGTGGATGATTACCGTCGGCGCAAAAAAAAGGGAGGGCCGCTTCGGGCGCTGAGTAGCAAGGCTTGGAGCACCGATGACTTCTTTTCAGGACTGAGGGAAGAGGAAGAGAAGGAGGAAGAGGAGAGGGAGGATGACAGTGACTGAGGGGATGAGTTGAATCTCAAGACAGGTCCTCACTGGGCAAGAGTCTTGCTTCCTGGGCTGGATCCCCAGAGGCTATGAATCTGTCATACCCTCTTGTACAGCATAAGGAGATGGGCAAATAGAGGCTCAGGACTGTGGGGAAGTAGAGCTGCTCACTCTACCAGTGGAAGACAAGCCCACAGCTGGGGCAAGATAGCACGGACACAGGTGTACACCAACCAGGGGTTTAATATAAATACAACCAGCATAAACAAACAAACCAACAGTACACATACACCAAAACCAAAACACCAAGTGGTGGGGACAAAAGGCAGGTTTCTGACCCTTTGGCTCAGCCATCCCCCAAATAAAAACAAAGACAAATCAAGAAAATAAGTGAAGATTCGTGCTAAGCTGTGGGAGGAGACGGAGTGTGTGTGTCACACAGAGAAAGGCCAAGGGATACTCTGGGCTGGGAGAGAGAGGGCAAGGTCCCTCACCACAACTTAGCCAAATCTGAGCTGTCTCCAAGTGCACTGGGGCTGGGCCCCAGCTGGGAGGCTGTGTCAGGCCTAGGGCAGGGCCCATGCTCCTCCCGTTTTGGGGACCAGATGGTGGCTGCCCAGACCTGCTGGGTTGGGGACTGACACAGGCTCTGCTGACTTGTTCAGGCTGCCTGCAGAGGATGGGGTTACTGCTTAACCATGGTACCTGCCTCAGCTCCAGGAGACCACAGGGCGCTGGCCCCAGACTCGCTCACTGCCCCAGCACATGAAAGGAGGCTGGCCCCAGACTTGCTCAGTGCCTCCAGCAGCCGTGCAGACACAGCATCCTTGGCCACCTCATGCCCATCCTGCCCTTCCACGGTTAGCACAACCCAGATGAGGCCACTGAAGGGCACTGGATGCCCAGGGATCACCACCTGGTACCAGAAGTGGTGCCAGCCAGCAGGGCCCGTGCCCAAGCACTTGGTGAGGAACACTGGGCTACCCAGCTTCATCCGTTGGCACAGCAGCTGCAAGGCAGTTCGAGCCCCTTGGGACGCTAGCTTGTCCCTAGCGAGGGCCAACCCGCTGCCTTCTGGCTGTAGGCACCTCGGCGAGGGCCCCACAAGCTGCTGGCGGAGTCGGTGCTTCACGTCTGGCTTGAGCCACTCCACAGCCACCTGCTCTCCACAGAGGCGTGACTGCCCTGTAGGAAAAAGGCAGAGACAAGGACAGGTCTTAGCCCTGCACCCAAGCCCTGTGAGTCCTTAGGAGTCAAGTCACACAATTACCAGGTGATGTGACCTCTGGCAAAATAACAAGGCTTCATTGTGTTTGTAAAAAGGGTGCAGTAACAGCTACCTTCTAAGTTTTCTTGGAGGAGTACTGATTGGATGCTGGCTTTATCTACTGCAAAACCATAAAACTACCAACCTTTACTGTGAATACTTGCCAAGAATCAAGGAATGTGCTAAGCATCCAGCTTAATTCTCACAACAGACAACAGTCTCAGTTGGACTGCCTTGGGCAAGTCCCTTTCTTAAAACAATCTTCTCTAACGAGGGAGATGTTGTATATTTTTCATTGGAATGTTGAGGGTTAAGTTAGGAGATAACACATGGGAAGTATTAAATTTAGGTAAGTGGTAGTACCATTGGCAATTTTAAGAGCTGAGTTCAAATAAATAATATAAAGTTGCAAATTCGGGCATTCTTGGCCTTAAGATCTTTCTACTTTACCCGCCCTACTGACGTGTGGAGGTAAAGTTCCTGGCAGAATACTGTGGCTCCAACCAGCGGCCCCCAGCAGCCTCCGCCCCTACCTTCCATCAGGGCCTTTTTGGCCATGGCCGCTGCACGGTGCGAGCTGAACTTGAGCAGTGCCATCTGCGTGAGCGCCAGTCCGGGGCTGGGCAGCAGCAGCGCCTCCTGAAGGCCCGGACCCAGCGGCTGCAGCGCGAGCAGCAGCGCGCGGCGGGTCAGAGCCGGCGGCAGCCCGTCCACGCTCAGCTCGCACTTCTCGGTGCTGAGGCACACGAGCAGCGGGCAGGAGGGCCGCAGAGGGTGGTTGTGCAGCGTGGCGATGGCGGCCTGGGCCCCGCGCCGCGAGCTGTAGCGGGCGTAGGCAAAGCCCCGGTTCAGGCCGCTGAAAGTCATCATCAGGCGGAACTCGTAGAGGCGGCCCGCGCGCTGGAACAGTGGGATCAGCTGGTGCTCGTACACGTCCTGGGGCAGCCTACCGATAAACACCTCGGACCCGGGCGGCGGCGGGCTGCCCACCCAGCCTGGGGGGAGGGGGTGGGGGAGGCACCGTCACCCATCCGGGTGTTCCGGGCTTGGGCCCAGGAATCCGGCGCGGGTGGGACCGTGTGAGCATGCATCTGTGAAATGGGTACAACACCCGTACCCCGAGTCGTTGGGATAACTGGGTAACTGAATTAAAATGGGGCTGGCACAGAGTGAGTACACCTTAAAGCTGGCTCCTTGGAGGGGGCGGGCGGGTGGGGCACGTCTGCTGGGGGAGGGGTTAGCGGGTAGTTGGGGGTGTCTGGCTATGGAGACCCCGAGTGGGCGCCTCCCCCAAGGGGCTCGTCGAGGCCAGCGCAGCACCCCGGCAGGCGTCGGGCTGGACTGTGTACCTGGGGGTGGCCCGCCATACTTCCTCTGCCCGTTCACTTGCACCAGGCGGATACCCGTCTCCCTGACCCACGCCTCCAGCGCCGCCTTGTTCTCTGGATTCACCCTCTCACACCACAGCTGCTGGGGAAGGGGCAGGTCGGAATGGCGGATGGCCGTGCCCGCCCCCACCTCGCCTGCGGTGCTGGGGCCCCAGGGCCCCCACTCCCTGCGCAGGTGGTGCTCGTTCACCCCTCGTCGGCAAGCGCTTACCTCGTACTCCCGTTTGGGCTGCATGGCTCTGGCGTCGGTCTGGCGTCGGTCCCTTTTATAACCTCCTCCCTATCGGCCTCTGGAAGCTTCCCTACCCCTCCACCTCCCAAGCTCGCATTGGCTCCGAGCACGACCCCGCCTCCCACGGGGGGTGGGAGTATCCGCCGCACGTGCGCCGCGACCCTCAGGTGAAAGCTAGGAACCCTAGCGGTTGAGTTTGCAGGCAGACTCGGCTCCTGAGAAATGGCTGGCACCACGGAGGGAAGAAGGACGCAGGGGGCACCCTTCACCCCGGGCAAGAGCCTGCTGTCAGTCTTTCTCCCCATTTCCCACCGCTAAAGCGGCCAGACTCTGACAGGGCAGGAAGGGGCCACTAGGGCCATAGCGACACAGACGGGCTCCAGTGGTTGATATTTTATTGCACCTTTGGTGACGGGTGGTGGGGAGCAGTGCCTCCTCCTGGTGGAGGGCCTGCAGAGGGGGCCATCTCAGGCCCGGTCCTTGTAGCCTAGGGGCCAGACTGGATTGAGCCCTCAGGGCTTCCTATGGAAAATGGCACAGTAAAATTACCTGTGATTATCAATAAAATAATAATAAAAATAAAAAGTCTCTGTTTTGACTACTCTTCAGGTTTCCCACTGGAAGTGTGCGAAGAGGTTGAAGTATATAGGCAGAGTTTTGTCTTGGCCTTAAATAGTGCCCGTCCACTTTCCTCTGACAGTTCGCTCAATTCAGCAGATGCAAAGGGGCGGGCTTGTTCTCCTTTTGATTTCCTTCACAAGGTCTTCTCTTCGGACATCCACCTGGCCAGGATGGGGGAAGAAAGTGATATGAGCAGCTTCCACTCCACTGCTCCCTGAGTGCCCACTCCTCCCTCTGGTCATCAGGTTTGGCTCAGCTGAGAGCAGGAACCCAGAACATTCAGGGTGGACAGTGCTTCTTGGGGGAGCCAGAGACACAGGGTGTTTGTGGGCATGGAGTCTTACCCTACCAGGATCCTAAAAACAGGCCCTTACATCCTTTACAAGTGTGTACTTGCAAGAACACCAGGCTTTTGCAGGGTCTTGAATGGGCATTGGCCTGCTGAAATGGCATACATTCCCTGTCCCTCAGCCTTCCTGCCCACCTACTTACCTCTTCTCTGCTGGCCACTGAACGGAGCTTGATGACCCCGTCCTTGAGCTCCTGCTCACCGATGATGGCCACCAGTGGGATGCCTGCCTCCTCACAGTACTGCAGCTGGTTCAGTAACTTTGGGTTTTTCTTGTAAAGCAGCTCAGCCTGCAGGGGACCCGGGCAGAAGATGAAGGCTGACTTCTGCATTCCTCAGGATCAACCTCCTGGGGCCCAACCTGTCACCTAGCTCTGAGTTCCGCCCCAAGAAATCGCAGGATAGCAGGGTGAGCTTGTGTTTAGCCTGTGCCCAGCATTCCCGTTTGCTGCCACCCGGGGGCTTGCCTCCTGTACCTTGATCCCAGCATCCCACAGCTCTGAGACGAGCTTCAGTCTCTCCTCCAGCAGCTTCTTCTGTGCGGATGCCACAAGCACCTGTGTCTCTGTAGTCCGTACCTTCTCCTCCAATGCCTGGGGAAGGTGCAGATAAAAGTCAGAGAGCTGGGCTACCCTTCGTAACACCGTCAAAGAGCAAAGAGAGCAGGCCCTTGTCAGGATCCTGAGACCAAGCCCAACTCAGCCAGCTCCATCAGGGCAGGGGCCCAGTCTTCTCATCCAGCAACTGGGCATAAGGTAGCTCTTAGATCATATAAGAAGTAAATTGGCCCTAACCAGTTTGGCTCAGTGGATAGAGCATTGGCCTGTGGACTGAAGGGTCCCAGGTTCGATTCCAGTCAAGGGCATGTACCTTGGTTGTGGGCACTCCCCCAGTAGGGGGTGTGCAGGAGGCAGCTGGTCGATGTTTCTCTCTTATCGATGTTTCTAACTCTCTATCCCTCTCCCTTCCTCTCTGTAAAAAATCAATAAAAAATATATATTTTTAAAAAAGAAGTAAATTGACTGGGCCCAGCCAGTGTGGCTCAGTGGTTGAGCGTTGACCTATGAACCAGGGGGTCACAGTTCAGTTCCCAGTCAGGGCACATGCCTGGGTTTTGAACAGGAGGCAGCCAATCAATGATTCTCTGATATTTCTATCTCTCCCTTTCTCTCTGACATAAATAAAAATATATTAAAGAAAAAAATAAACTGACTAGCTTGTACATCTGACGTGCCAGAATAAATTACCTAGGGCGAGGGCAAAGGTAGCTTATTTATAGAAACTTCTAGCTTATTTCCATCTACCTTAAGGGCCCACAAGAACAGTAACACAGAAGTGATACTGTGAGCCCATCAGGCAATCCAATCAGCCCTAGCAGTTCTATTCCCACTTACTATCTGCCAGTTGAGAGGGTACAGCTCATCGGGTACAACCCAAGGTGTGTGTGGAGAGGGGGAAGGGAGGATGCTGCTGCTGCCCCTTGTCTTTTTCTGGAAAACTATTTTCATAGTTCCTACAACATAAGATGCCTGTTGGAACAGTGACCTTAAGTGGGAAACATGGGTGGTTTCCACCTAGAGAAAAGGATGGAGCAGTGGGAAGGTTACTGCCAGAGCTTTCTCCAGGGGATAAAATGCAACCAGCCAGTTAAGAGCAGCAGCAACAAAGGTGCACTTGAGGCCATGAGGGGTTTCCCTGGTGGTACTCCTGGTGCTAGAGTCAGGACAGCCATCTTAGGATCTCAGGGCCTCAGACACACGCTCCCCCCTCAGAGACTATCACAGCATGGTTAGGAGCAAGACTTTACAGTTAGACTGCCTGGATTCAAATGGACTCTGTCACTTAAAAGATTCATGACTTTGGGGTATTTAATCGAAAATCTTTAGTTCTCTAAAGATAGTAAAAGTAGCTACTTTCAGAAGGCTGTTGTAAAAATTTTACCACCTAGATTCCTGACAGCTCTGAGGGAAGAAGGGACCCAGAACAAGATATTTTGTGAAAAAAGAATGATCAGAAATCCATAAAGCTGTCCTATAATGGGGTGGGAGTCTGTGTAGTAGTGTCCATCTTTTCTCCATTTCTCTGCAAAGATGCTCCTTGCCCAAAGTGACCCCCCGGGGGATCAAAGAAGATAGCCCAGTTGCCACTGCCTGCCCAGATTGTCTTCTACTCACCTCTAGCCTCTGCTCCACGATGGAAAAGATCCGCTCCACACCAATGCTGAGCCCCACGCATGGCACCTTGCGCCCTTTGGGGTCAAACATGCCCACCAGGCCATCATAGCGGCCTCCAGCAGCCACACTGCCCACACCCAGGGGCTCTTCCCCTGCCTGGGCTGCGGCCTGTAGTAGCACCGCCTCATAGATCACTCCAGTATAGTAGTCCAGCCCTCGAGCAAGGCTCAGGTCGAAGGAGATCTGTGGGGACAAGAACATGTCAGTACCAGATGAGGATCAAGGACCTGAAGCCCCAGAGCACAGCGAGGGCTCCCATCCCCAACCTGACTCACCTTGTCAGCAATGCCAAACAGGGTCAAGTACTCAAACAGCAGCTTCAGGTCTCCCAGGCCCTCCAAGGCCTGCTTGTTTTGAGACAGTTTAGGATCCTGGAGCAGCTGTTCCACCAGGGATACCCCACCTGGGGAGACAGATTTGCAAGAATGATTGATCAGAAGAAAAAATTAGGGGCTGTATCTTTTTGCCTGGATTGTACATGTATGTGTGCTCCCCCCACTCCCCGCCCACTTCCCACTTCTCTGTCTCTCTCCCATTCCCTCTGTCTCTCTCTCCTACATATACACACACATGGAGAGAAGAGTTTCAG